AAGTCCTGCTCCTGCCAGAACCCACCCAACAGCATCCCCTCCATCTTCCATAGCTGACTGGAGAGGAAAGGACCCCCTGCCCATCCCAAACTGGCTGAGGACCAGCTTCCACACAGGAAGACCTGCAGGTCCCTTCAGCTCAGTTAGGGCCCAAAGATGACTGAGTTGGCAGAGCAGAAGAGATGTGATATCTGGTGCAGAGGAGGGAGATAGGAAGCAGAGACTCACTGAGTCCAGGAGTACAAGAGCTCTGGGGCAGCAGGATGAACTTCTAGGTGTTGGTTTCAAAACCAGCAAAAGGCAGCAGTTCAAAAGGAAGGCATAGGCAAAGCGTGGAAATCACTGGCACAGGATTACACAGATCTGAAAAAAAAAATAATTATAAGATTTATAAAGTAATCTTATAAATTTCTGGAAGTAAAATCCACACTGGTCTATTAAATACTGTGACCCTGATGTTGCCTCTGGAAGCTCTGAGTTGTAAATAGCTGGAGGCTGATGGGTGCTCCTGCCTTCTCCTACAGCAGCAGGTAGACAGACCTCTGGAGAGAATTAGCACAGACTTTTTTCCCCCTATTTTTTTTTTCTGTGAATATAGACTAACTTCAACATTTTCCATGCAGAGTCTGCTGGAACTGGGAGCCAACTTCTCCTCTGGGAAGTGTGTGGTCTCCCTAGATTTGCACATCTGTGATCTCCAGGAAAAGGGTGAATCAGACCGAAAGTGGAAAGGAAAATCTGCATTTATAAATACACCCTGTGCCAGCACCTGAATGAAAAGAAGACTGGCAGAAATGCTGATGTTGTAAATACATCCAGCCAGCTACAGAGGCCCAAAGGCAGGTGAGCATCTCGACATGCAGACCCACCTGCAGCATATTGGACAGATCCAAAGCACAAGGTTTGGATAAAGCTTTCCTTGGCTCTCCATGATGTTACAGAAGGGACAGCTCATCACAGGTCCTTTCTAGGATGAAATCCTACTGGTGATGGCTTTTGGTTGAGCAAAAGGTCCAGGCAGCCCTCGTAGTCTGTAGCACACCTGGGGCTGGGAGTGATGACCCATCCCGGGAAGTGTCCAAGGCCAAGTTGGAGCAACCTGGGATAGTGGAAGGTGTCCCTGCCCATGGCAGGGGGGGTTGGACTTTGTGCCCCATAAGAGTCCCTTCCATCACAAAATATTCTGTGATTCCAGGAGGCCTCTCATGGGCACGGATGCTGGGAGCTCTCCCATGAACTCCACTGCCACTGCTCAGCAAATGGGCTCAGGGCAGCTCTTTGCAAAGCCAAGCCAGAGCTCTGGGAGAACACAAGGGGCCAATGGGACCCTGATATTCTCATGTGAAATACAGAATCAAGGCACCAGCAGGAGGCAGCGCACGAAAAATGCTGCCAGTGTGAAAAACAGCTCCAGCTCGGGTTAAATTCTGAAATGGACCACTCAGAACCGAAGTCCCAAAACACGTGTTCCACTGCTGAGTGGAATAACTGACTCATGGCTGATCCAAGAGAGCCAGAGTCCCCCATGGCTTCATTCCTTCTTGGGATCTGTTAAGGTGCAAGGGACTGATGGATCTTTCCCTCCACTGCTTTTGTCCCAGTGGATGCTCTGCTGTCAACTAAGAAGCAAGTTTGAGGTACTTCTTCAAGAAGCCAGGTTAAAATAACATATTGAAAATCCTATTTTACACTTCCAAAGTTGAATGTAGGATCCATGAAGGGAAAACTAGTGTCTGGGTCATTTCTGATGCTCCCTGTCATTATCACTCCTGCCTAGAAAACAACCTGGACCTTGTAGCTCCCTCTTCATTACGTTATGCAGGAGTCCACCAGTGCTTTGAGGTTAAGAGATGGATCTTCAGAAGGTAAGACTGAAGACCAGAGCAAAGTTTTGTGTTTAGACCACAAGACAGGTACTGAGGGGCTCAAATACATCCTCTAGCTCTGCCTGCTCTCTCTCCATGACTGTGCCCAAGATCCTTATCTACAGGAGGGCAGTAGCATCTCCTCTTACCTGTTTAGGTCCTGTGACTTCAGACAGGGACTGTGCACAGTAGAGGACCTTCAGACCTGCTACCATGCTGTGAAACCCCAGGATGAGGAGAACAAAGCCTCTGTCAGTGCCAAGATTCAAACATTTTTCAGGTCATCACAGCCTGACTGTGCTAATTGTTATCGTGGTCAGTGAGAAGTTTGCCAGAGGTGTCCAAGCACTGCAGTCAGAGAAGGGCCCCCGTCTTCCTCTGCTGGCTCCGGAGCAAAGCCTCGTGCTCCTCCCAGAATAGCAACTGTGCAAACCTCGGTGCTTCTCTTCCAAACCCATCTGAATTTTTAGAAACTAATTTGCAAAGCCTCGGCCCCTGTGGCTGCAAGCAAAGCCCAGCTGTCTGTGCAGCCTCCTCAGCCACGGCACCTCCAGGCTCTTCTCAACGTGACGCTGTGACCTCCCGCTTGGGAGGGGGGGGATTTTTACCTGGGAGAAGAAAATCCTGCCAGAAGACTCTTGGGATCCTACAGGGCAAGAGAGGAGGGGTTGGGGATGGGATTGTTGTAAGCAGAGGTCTCTGGGGGGAGCTCCTGACACACGGCAGAGCCTGGGACCCCGTTTTCCAGCCGCCTGACCCCACACTCTCACCTGAGCTCAGCAATAATGGCATTGCCAGTGGCCCTCACCAGCACCACTGGGATCGATTCAGCTGGAGCCACGGAGGGTTAGTAAACTCTACTGAGATCTTCTCCCCATTTCCCATATCCATAAGCCACACAGGTGGTATTTTTTAGGTATCCGAAGCCACAGCCTTCCTGGGGAGGGCACAGAGATGAATTCCCATCACGGTGAGCCACAGAGCATCATCTCCCATCCAGCTCATCCCTCTTGGGATGCTGGTCCTTGAGCTGCCAGGAGGACACCAGGTGGTGGGAAGTATCTGCACACCCACCTTCAACCTGTTCCCCTTCCCTTCACAGCTTGGATTGAGTAAGGGGGTGGGGATTAAACTGATATCCCTTATCTCAGACCTTCCAGGGAATCCTGCACCAGCTGACACAAAGTGCTCTCTCTGAAATGAGTAACACTTGCAAATAATACCTTCCACGGCCAGAGGGATGATGGCACTTAGAAAGCAGATAAATTTGTTGTATTTTTAAGCAAAGATAACCACCGGCTGCCTGAGATTAAACCACCACTCCAACTCTTCTCTGCTGAAACCAAACTGGCACGTCTATGGCAAGGAGCACTCGGCAAACAGGATCGGTCATCACATTAATTCCAGCACACAGGATTAAACCCCACAACTGCAAGAAATGCACAAAGCAACGGCCAGAAGTGCTGTGTGGAATTCCAGGGTCTCCCTGCAACCCCTCTCCTCCTTGCCAGGATAGTGAAGAGAGTTTGAATCAACACCAGTAAAACCCAGAATAAATTTAAATGGTGGGAAAAGACACCACTGGTTGTCAGCTGGAAACTAGAAATGGGCTAATTCCGGTCTCCCTACAATTTTGTTCTATTTTCTTATTTTTAAACAATTTAGCAGGTTGAAAATTTTGCTTAATGCCTCCCCAGTCACACGAGGTCATGCAGCAGTTTGACACCCACACGTGACAGGGACACACACACATACACAGGGAGGGAAACCCTCAGCCCCTGTGCTCTGTGTAAGATGCACAAGTTAAGAGTCAATTCCTTAATACATCCATGAGTATTTTGTCACAGAGATCACTTTTACCATCAGCAGGTTTATAGCCACAGTTTAGATTCCCATAAAATTTACATAATTAAATGTAATGCTTCAGGGTTTGGTTGATTTTTTTTTTTTTTTTTTTAAGAAACTTTTTTCCTACAGTTTCTGAACAGAACCCCCCGTGTAGGATCTCACCAAGCAAAGGAAGATCTCCCAGGGGCCACGTAGGCATCAGGACAAGAGCAGCACCTACAGAAAAGCAAGTGCCTGCTGCCTCCGCGGGGCCGAGGCTTTGGTTTCATCACTGCAACTCAATGCAAAAAGAAGCACCAAAATAAACAGCTCCATAAAGCAGCGGGGACGCAGCGAAGCAGTTGGAGGCTTCTCCAGCGAGAATGACCTAAATCCAAGAGGCATTTGTGCAGATGCTGCTCAGCTCCACAACACCCTGGCAGCCTCCAGGACAACCCGGGATGCACCAACAAAGAAGGAAGCGAACCTGGGAGAAAACTCTTTCTTTTAATAAAGTCACTGCGATTTTTTCGGGTTTAATTCCACCCCCCACCCCCTTCCCGCAAGGCACCCTCCTGCAGCGGCTGCCCCACGCCCAGGGCTGCCAGGAGGGGGGCCCCGGGACCCCCTTTCCCGGAGCGACCCCGCAGCAGCCGGGGTTATCGATGGAGATGTGTGTAATTGCCCTGTCAGGCAGCTGAAAGGCGCTCGCCTTTAGCTGATGCCACTTCAAAATGAAATTCTTTCTTTGGCATGGCTATGTCTGATATGCAGGCATCAAAGGGGAGGCAGCAGGTCGCCGATGCCCCAGGCCACGCATTTCCCTTCTAAAAGCAGGAATGGGAGTGTCAGCTCCCGGCCGAGGGGGCCCTGGAGACCAACACCCATCACTCCTTCGAGGGTTCCTGGAAAGACTTGAGGACCCCCCCAGCACCCAGAGACATCCATAGGCTCTCCAGCAGCAAACTGGGACTCTGTGGGCCTGCACACCGCTGGGATGGAGGGGTGGAAAAGCCTCCCTGGCACAGAGGAGGTTGAGGGCTGGGTTTTTTTTTTTGCTTCCAAGAGAAACACAGGGCTACGCTCGCCTCCCCCCACAGCTCCCATCTCCTCTCTCCACCTGCACTCTTCAGGGAGCCAAGGCTTTTGGCAAGCTTTCCACTGCAGTTTTTATTGGTTTCAACTGAGCTGCCCCTTTTGGAGGGTTGGAAAGCTTCAAATCATTAAAGGAAAAGAAAAAAGAATAAATAATAATTTTTAAAAAAGCATCCTGCACCCTCGCCCTGCTGCCCCTTCCCACTCCCAGGATGGCTGAGGACACCAACCCCACATCACCCAGCCCAGGCACAGCTCCCTATTTTCCAAGCCAAACACAGCCCTTCTAGTGCATTTGAGCCAGAGTTTTCAAGGCCCTGGATACCTCCAACTGTACCTGCTCGGCTCTGATCACCTTCCTGCTCGGAAGCAATTTAGAAAGGACACAGCACAGGTAGCTATTAGCTAACACATATTTAACTGCTCCAGATATCTTTTTTTTTTTTTTTTTTTTGGCATTGTAATGGAGTGATTTGATCTTCAAAGGACCCGTGGAAACCTTTGAAGCTTCCCCATCTCCAGTGGGGAGGAGGAGGGGAGGGGAAATGTTAATAGTTTTAAAACCTGGGGAATCCTGAAGTCGGAGAAAGGGTATAAAACCCAGTGGGTTTAGCATAAAGCCCTCAGGTAAATCTTCACCTTCTTTTCAAATGCATTTTTGGTGGGTTGCTTTGCAAAGGCTCGGGCCAGGTTAGCAAGGTCGGCTCTATTTCCCAGCGGCTCTTAATCTCCAGGGACCCTCATCTCCCACGTGGCGCAGCCCCGGCACTGGGGGATCCGCGGAACCTCGGCGAGAAATAGAAAGACTAAAATTTGCAAAGCCTTTAAGTGGAAAAGGAGGAGGGGGGGGGGGAGTAAAAAAGGAGGAGTGGAGGGTGGAAAAGACAAGGAGAGAAGATAAATTCCCGGCTGCACTCCCAGCCAGCACAGCCTCAGCAGCACCCTGAGAGGCGAGACACAAAATGCGTTTACCTTTAAAATAATGACTCATTTTATTTTTTTCTTTTAATATGTAGTTATAAATATATTTTGTCAAAATATATGATCATTATTGTCAAAAACATTTGCACATAAAGTCATAAATAAGGTCAAGGTGAACGTTTAGTTTAGAGAAGAGTCCAGCTATAGCAAGCAGTTCTGGGGTGGGACGGGAGGGAGAGAGAAGGGGAGGAGAGGGCGGCGGGGAATGGGGTCAGCGGCACCCGCACCCCTCCACCACCATCTCCTGGTAGTTTTTCAGGACCACCTTGTCATACTCATCCAGGTAGAGCATGGAGATGGCGCTCAGCTCCGTGGGCACGCAGCAGGCCTTGGGAATGCTGGAGTTCACGGAGTTCACCAGCGTCTGCACGATGGCGTGGTTCGTGGAGTTGAGGTGGTCGGCCAGAGGGAAGGGGCAGTCCCCGTGGCAGTAAAACGCCTGGTACCCCGGGGGCGCCACGATCCAGTCGTTCCAGCCCACGTCGCTGAAATCCACATAGAGGGCATGGCGGCGGCAGTTTTTTTTGTTCTTGCGGGAACGCTGGTGCTTGGGGCTCCGCCGGGCTCTGCGGGTCAGCGCGTGGCCTCGCCCGTCGTGCCCAAAAGTGACCAGGAGCGGCCTGAGCTGAGCCCAGTCCCCGCGCCCTTGAGGTAAAGATCGGCTAATCCTGACGTGTTTGCCCTGATGAGTCTGTGCGTGGTGGAGGTGGGTCACCTCGATCACCAGCCCGTGGTTCGGCTGCTTGTCCTTGGTCCACCGGATCACAGCCGGGCTCACATCAAAGGTCTCCCAGCGCGTCACGTTGTGGTGCACCAGACGCGTGTCCAGCAGGCGCGTAATGGCCTGAGCGCGCTCCGACAGCGGCTTCATCACTTCGTAAATGTTTATCCGGTGGAAGCCCCCCTCCCACGCCTCGCTCGGCTCCTCCACCTGCTCCCGGTACAGCCGCAGCTCCGCCGAGGAGATCACCTCGTTTTCCGGCACGCTGCTGAGGTTGAAGACGAAGCGGATCCGGGGCGCCTCGCTGGGACCCGGGACGGTCTCCAGGTGCTCTGGAGGGGGAGCAGGGACGGGGGAAGGCAAGCGGGAAGACAAGCAAACAAGAGCACGTCAGGTTTGGGGGGCACCCAGCCGCGGCCCCCGGCGCGGCCACAGCACACCCACACCCCGCGATTCACCTGCCCGGGGCCACCGGCTCCGCTCCGCTCCCCCGCGCATCCCTCCCGGCTGCAGCCGGAGCAGCTCCTGCCCCGGCACCGCTCGCCCGCCTGCGCCCCGACCGGGACGGGACATCCCTTCCCATCTCGCTTCCCATTTCAGAGAGGTTTTTTCCCCTTTCGCCTTTTACCCCCCCCAGTCGCTCCAAAATCATCCCCCCCCGGGCGAGATGCGGCGCCGGGAAGCACAGAGGTGCCTTGTTACAGGGGGGCAGGGGGAGAAAGAGAAGCAAATTCCAACGCAGTAATGATGCGGCTGGATTAATAATTCAGATTTACTTTGGAAAAGAAACATCCGCTAGGAAACATTTGGATCAGATTACAAGGGTCTATTGAATAAACCATATAAACACACAGCTGTAAGTATTAAATTTGAGTCGGGGTTTGGGGGAATTTTTTTTTTTTTTTAAGAGTAAAAGCAGGCAGCAATCGCTTTGATAGTTCAAAAGAAACACTCCAGGGGCGAGATCCCGCCCTCGCTTTACTCCCGCATCCGATCCAGAGCCATTAAATCCACGCGAGCCCAGGGAGTGACCCCGAGGCAGAGGCACCGAACGAAACTCGCTGTTGTCAACAGAAGCAAAAGCACTTCAAAATATGGTCAATCTCGGGTTAAGCACAGGATGCTGGAAAAAATACAGCGCAGCACGCCTGTCACCCACACACGGCAGGCTGGGGGTGGTTTTCCTCCCATAAATTTAGGGCCGGGCACGTCCTGCTTCTAAAGGCATTTGTGAGCTTCCAAACGCAAGGAAATCCCGATCGCTACCGGGGCTGGGAATTTACAGCCTCCCATCACTGACCTTCATGGTGGAAACTCCTCACGGTGTTTGCCCGGCTGGTCGATCGCTCAGGGTACTGCAGGCTAATTTCCTGGAGGCTTTCCTCCTCTTCTCCGGACTGGAGTCGATAGAGATCCAGCATGTAACTAGGAATGACGGCTGACTTGCTGGGCTGAGGCCGCCTTCGCAGCCCAAACATCTGCAGCAGAGTTGTTTCGAAACCCCGCAAGAGTTCATGGCTTTGGGCAGAGCGGCGTCCGGATCCGGCTTGTCCCTGAAGCTCTGCCACTTTCTTCCTGCCGGTCTCGGGGATCAGGCTAGCATGGTTAGTACCTCCTAGAAGGACTTGGCATAGTAGGATGACCATCAGCATTCGGTTACCAGGAATCATGGTGTCTCTGGGGTGCAAAAAAACGCGACAACAAACAAGAAAAGTCAGGATGAGAAGCAAAGCCCCCTCTTCTTCCGAATAAACTTTAAAAAATTAATAAGTAATAATAAGAATAACAAATGGCAAAAGGACATGGGGAGCAGCCCCCATTCGAGCGGCTGCCGGGGCAGTGACCAGCCCCCGCACCCGGGCTGCCCGCAGCCCCCTCGGGAAGCGGGTCCCCAGCTCATCCCGTCCCGCTGTCCCGCAGCTCCCTCGGGAAGCGGTCCCCAGTGCATCCCGGTCCCGCAGCCCCCTCGGGCAGGCGGGTCCCAGGCGGGTCCCCGGCGCATCCCGGCCCCGCAGCCCCGCCGGGACGGGACGGGACCGGGAGAAGCGGCGGCGGCTCCCGGCGGGGAGAGAAGGGGAGCGCGGCTCGGCGCTATGAGAGTTCAAATCCCGCCGCCGGACCCCGGGGAAGGGGGGAAAACAGGATAAGAACAACACAAAGTTCTTTAAAATAAAATAAAAATTAAAAAAAAAAAAAGTAAAATAAAAGCCCCGCGCTGAAAACCAAAAGCGAGGAGCGAAGGCGGAGGAAGAAGAGGGCTGTACTCACTGACAGCAAGCAAGGCATATCAGCACAGTCCATGATTCTGGAGAGCCAGCCCGGACCCAGCGCGCCGAAAGCCCCGGGGCAGCGGCTGCCGAGCGCCTCCCGCGATCGCCGCCCGGCGCAGTGCGGCCGCCGCCGCCGCCGGCCCCGGTTTTCTGCCGGCCCCGCAGTCACGTGGAGCCGCTCTCGCCGCCAGCCCGGCCCGGCCCGGCCCGGCCCGCCGCCCCGGCCCGCCCCCGGCCCGGCCCGGCCCCGCGGGGGACGGCCCCGCACCGCCCCGCCCGCGGCCCGCCAGAGAAGCGGGGACCCCCCCGGCGGGGCCGCGGGACGGGCGCGGTGCGACCCCCGCGCATCCCCCGCCCCGCTCAGGTGCATCCCCGCGGGACGCTCCCGCACCGCCCCGGCCCCGCTGTCCCCAGGGAGGTCCGGGCACCGCGGGGCTCCCCGAGGGACCGGTCTGGGAAGGGGGGGCTCGGGAAGCGGCTCTGCCTCGACGAGTAGGGAGGGAGCGCTTGGGAACGAGGAGAAGCTGCATGGGGAAAGGGACGGCGGCAGAGAGTGGGTCCCTCCTGTGCCCCCACCGCCCGAGAGTCCCCTCCCCGGGGTTGGGAGCCCACTACCAGGCCCTGGGGGTTATCCCTGCTCCCAGCCCTCGGTTCCCACCTGCCCTCCAGGTTTTCTCATCCTTCTCCTGCCCCTTCCCTCCCTGGCTGCCTGCAGAGCTCTCTCCCCTCTCCCACCAGGCTGGGTTCCCAGACCCCCACCTGGATGTGCAGCAGGTACCTTTCCAAGGGTTGTGTATGGCCACAGCTGGCTGCTCCAGAGGGGTATGGACAGGGATCTCCTGGAGGAAGGATGCTCCCTGCCCCACAGTTCAATCCCAGCATTGCCCTGGGCCAGCTTTGGGGCTGAGACTAAGAGCCAGACATCCCAAGCCTTGAGACTGTTCCCAGGTGGAGTCTGGGGACACACTGGTCTCCCAGTAGGGCACATCAGCTGGGCACACTGGGGTTGATGTACCAACAAGGCGTGGAGAAGGCAGCTCCAGGGGAGGACACCCTAACGAAAAGTGATGGATGCCACATACTTTGGGGACATGGAGTAGACTGAATGACCCTGCAATAAATGAAGCCAACTCCACCAGGGCATCAGAACATTGCCCCTTTGCCCTGCTGGGGTACCCCTTTGTTTTGGGCAAACTGTCACCCACGGCAAGAGCAGCTGGTTAATTCACGAGGCCAAAAGATGCGGTCGTGCAGTGGCCATGGGAACTCCGAAGCTCATCAATTAACCACAACCAAAAACCAGCTCAGAAACGATGACTGTGAACCAGCCACGTGGCCACAAACCACCGGGCTGCCGTGCCCAAGTGTGCAGCGAGCCCACACCAGCACCTCGGCGTCCTTCCAGCGCTGCCCCAGAGCTCACACACCATCCCATCACAGACGCCTCCTTTCCATATTTCACTTTTTTTTTTTTTTTTTTTTTTTAGCTCAGACCTGCCCCATGCATTAGAAAAGCCCAGGGATGTCACCGAAAGGACACGCACAGATAAAAGGCAGTGCTGACACTGTAATATCTCTGAGTTATTCCTATACCACTCCGAGTTTAAAAGAAACATCTGTTAGCAAGGTATTTGGACTATGAATCCATCAAAATTTGTGAAATATTGCTATCGCCATTTCAAATGTATCACACTGTGTGTTATTCTTAACAAGTGAAAACAATTTTGGGAGTAGCTGCTGTGCAACTTTTTAAAGTTAAATAACATTTTCATTGAAAATACTCCAGTCTATAAACAAAGTTTACACGAGGGCCTGTATAGCTCTAAAACAGACCTCTGGACTGGGAAAAGCTTCGGGCTCCCTCTTTGTGGGAGCAGTTACGCTCTTTGTCTGAACACCTCGCCCGGGTTTTGTTGGGATCAGAGAGCGGCCGTGCTCGAAACGTTTCTCCCTGAGGAATTCAGTCCCACGGCACCCAGTGCCTGCTCTCTCCTAAGCCACCCCAATCCCAAAAATGGCTTATGTAACCCTGGCTAACTGTGCCCTGCGAGGAGGTGGCCAGCTGGGGCCAGAGAGCCAGGGCAGAGCGGTGTGGTTTGGGCTCTCGTAGGAGGCAAGAGCGTATTTGAGTAGCTCCTTGGTTACTAAGAAGTGTTAGTCATGGGGAAAGCTGTAGTATTTATTCCGTAAAATGTAAATACATAACCCAAACCACAAAGGAATAACCAGGGATGGAAATAGTGTAGCATTTAGAGAGGGAGCCGAGCTGCCTTTTTCTACAGAAGCTGTATTTCCTCAGCCCCGTGGAGTGTAATTCACCTTGAACGGAGCTTCTGCTCCAGCCCGGGGAGTTACACATCGGCTGAACTCAGTCCAGGCACACTAAACAACCCAGTGTGTTATATATTCCAACCAAAAAAAAGGGATGCCAAAACGGAGCTAAAAATACAAATGTGGAAGGTTTGAAAAGCAAACACTGCTTAATTCAGCGGTAGATGCGACTTTAAAGACCCGGGACATCAAAAATAAAAACATTGTGTCTGTGTTCAGGGCAAGGCTCACCTCCCTCTGATTACAGGGGTGAAGGGGGGGTCAGGGGGGTTCTTGCCCGTGACCCAGTCCCAGCCCTACTCGGGGTTCTGCTGCCGGGTTTTTCCTCTCTGTCCTCTGTGAAAAACCTTCTGGGAATCTCTGCACCTGGACAGCAAGGCCGTTGGTCTCCTCTGGAAGCAAAGAACCGGGTCATTGGGGACCTCACCCCGCGAAGAACGGCCAGACAAAGAGGTGATTCATCACCCGCAGGCCTTGGCTGTGACAGAAGACTTGGCCGGTGGCAGCAAGGAGCCCAGGGACCAGCAGGTCTCCCAGAGCCCCAGTGCCCAGCTCTGCTCACAGAGGTCACCAGCTGAGGGGCAACTATTTGTTCTCCTTTGTTTCAGCCTGGTAATCGTGGATTTGCCCGGACGAGTCCCTGATAAAATCCCAGCCACGCACACACCTGACCCGTTTCCAGGTTTTGCGTGCTCAGGACCTACCAACAAGCACTGCAGGTCCATGTTCAGCACCTCTAGAAATTAGGCCAGCTCTGTTTACAAGGAAAACTTCTCCTCTAATGGCAGCATTTCAGGAGATGCCTCTGGTCTCGGACCTTCCCAAACCAGTTCTTGCATCCTATGTTATTTTTAGAGCAGCTGCACCTTTTTTGGGCTCTAAAGTTTGCAAACAACCCGCCTTGAGAAAAAAAAAAAATAAAAGAACTTGTCTCACCAGATTTGTGCTTGAGCAGAAACAAGCCTAAAACCATAAATAAATAAATAAAGGCATATGTCAGAGGCTTTTAATGACATGAATTACAGGAGGAGATGCCCGTAAGTGTGCTCAGATCAATTCCCTCCTACCCTTTCCTTTCAACTGCCTAAGCTTGTCAATTAAAACAAAGGGAACTGAGCAAACAACTCCAAGGGATTACATTTTCCAAAGTAGCTCTTCACTAAAGAGCTGGACTACAACTGGTAAAAACAAGTGCAGCTGCTTGAATGGTGAAAGGAACATTTTTTACAACCACTCTGAGATTTTCATGACTTCTCTGAGTGCTTCAGAGCTGGCCCGTTCTACCAGCATTTTCTGCCTCCTCTTGAATAAATAAATTCATACTTCTCCTAAAACACAGCACTGCACCAGGCTTGGACTCTATTTCTGCTTTACATTAAAGTGTCTCTGCTGAGGTGTCAGGACCATGTCTAGAACCACTCCTGAGCTAAGAGGAGAATCAGGTTCAGCATTGCTGTTTTATTCCAAACAGGTTTTTTGCTTCTTTTTTTTACAAATCCCTACAAAAACACTGTGTGGGAACATTAAAATCATGCAGTTCTAAAAAGGCAGTCTTTGGTAATCAGATACATGGCAGTCGAAACAGTAGGATTGTCTGCTCTTTCCTATTTTTAAGTTTTTAAGGATGATTTTTATTGTTTTGAGAATGCTATTAAAAGGTTCAGTGTCCCACCCAGGGAGAATCTTAAATTGCTGTTTCTTTGTCACTATTCAAAGATCCCCAAGACTGAGAAAGGCTAGAAATGTTCACACAGGCAGTGTCTGTCTTCTGCTATGAGACTCTGAGGTCTCTGCTGATAAATGTTGTTCCTTTAGAGATGCTAGTGCCTCAAAACTAGGAGGTTCCTTTCAGGTTGGAGGCTCTTTCAGGTTGGACACCAGGAAGAATTCCTTCATGGAAAGGGTGGTTAGGCATTGGAATGGGCTGCCCATGGAGGTGATGGCATCACCATCCCTGGAGGTGTTCAAGAAATTACTTGGTTGACAAGGTAGTGATGGGTCAAAGGTTGGACCTGATGATCTTGGAGCTCTTTTCCAGCCTTGATGATTCCATAGTTCTGTGATTAGGGAATTGCTTCAGCAACACAACTCATGAAATGAAGGTAGAGCCATTTTAATGGTCTGTTTTTAACGTTTTCCTGAAGTGTGTTAGAAACACACCTGATTTAAAATCATCTACACTTCCACTGGTTTCCTCAGTCGACGTTACAAGAATAACACGCACTGATCTCATGCAGCTTTTGGAAAGAATCCTTACCTTTAGCCCACATTCTCTGTATTACTCCCCACTCCATGAGAAGCAAGGGGGACCTCCAGAAGGTGAAGAGCACATTCCTCCTGCTCTGAAACCGTGGCTGGTCCTAACAAAGACCCTCATTCCTCTGACGAGCACCATCCGGCCATATGGCCATGGCAGATAAGCAGATTGGGTTTGGATCTGATGAGTCATGAATACTTCTGGAGAATACCACAAGTGCTGGCAGCTCCCTGGCCTTGCAAACCACTCCAGTGTGTCTCTAGTACCGATGTGTGGCTCTGTCTGAGTGCTGCTGCGACTCTGATATTTCCACACAACCGCAGGGTGACGACATTTGTCTTTGTCCTTTAATTGCAGCTCGAGATCTGCCATCAGTAGAAGCTTCAACGATCTCAAACACTACTCCAAGGTATAAATAAGCAGAGCAGGACATCTGCTGCAGAAACAGTTCACGCTATTAGACTTTCAGCAATAGCAAGGGACTTTACAGGCAGGTGTTATTGTAAGTGCTGGGAAATCTCAGCACATGGACGG